TGAAGACGCCAAGGGAGGAGAGAGCAGGCTCTGCAGTCAGCCCGGCTGGTGTGGCTCAATGGTTGAGCATCGACCTATGAACCAGGAGGTCACGGTTGGATTCCCGGTCAGGGCACAGGTCCCGGTTGTGGGCTCCAACTAAGTGTGGGGTGCTGATCATTGATGTTTCTATCTCTCTCTCTTCCTTCCTCTCCGAAATCAATAAAAATATTTTTTAAAATAAATAAAGGGGGCGAGTCTAAGAAGACATACTCGTGAGGGTTGGGCCTGGTAGGAGGGGTGTGGCCAGGACCCAGGCAATACATTGTGAGGCGGGGTTTGGGTGGAAAGCCCCCCGCTGCTACCCCTCAGCCCCCTGCCTCCACCCCTTCCTCGAATCTGGAGAGATCTGAGAGCATCTAGACCAGCGGTCCCCAGTCTTGGCTACACATGGGAATCACTTGGGGAGCTTTAGAAAAACACTAATGTCCAAGTCCCTCTCACTCGTAGCGATTCTGATGAAATCGGTCCCGGGTGCAGCCTGAGCGGCGGAATTGGGACCGGCGGGGCGGAGGAGTGGACAAGAGGGTGGCTATTTCTGACCCTTTTTCCATGTTCCCTCTCCTTTCTCCCATGGGATCCTTTCCGGAAGCCTCCTTTGCCTACACGCCTGCAGGTGAGCCACCACTGACTGCCCTGTGGGGTTCACACCCCAGCCCGGCTCTTCTCTCATCCAGTCTCCCCTCATCTTCCCCAGTGTCCTTCCCACACTCGGAGGGCCTTTCGGGAGCCAGTTCCAGGTAATTCGCTCAACTTCCTTCCCAGGGATAGTCCCCTCCAGGGACAGGCCGCACCCCTTCCTCTCCAGGCCTCACTGCCTCCTCAGCTGACGTGCCCACCACCCCACCCCGCCCCCGCCCATTGCCCCTGCCTCCTCTACTTCCCAGGCCTTCCAGGGCTCTCCACCCCAGCGTCCACATGCTCTCCCCCAGGCCACCCGGGGGCCTCGGCCCTGCTCCCTACCCTTGGCTGGCAGACTCCTGGCCCCACCCATCTCGAAGCCCCTCTGCCCAGGAACCCCGGGGGGGCTGCTGCCCCAGCAATCCCGACCCAGACGACAGATATTACAATGGTGAGGAGTTCTCCTTCCCTCGGGGGCCCGTGTGGCCCCGGCACCCTTCTCTCCTCTCTACCTACCGGGGTACACTGCAGGGAGCCCCAATGCTCCTGAGGTTGGTCAGTCCTCAGGAGGATGTGAGTGGGGGTGTCCCTCTGGCCCCACCTGTACCCTGGTTTGGGAGTAAGGTTTGGGGTGGGGGAAGAAGGGACCCGGTGAGGTTTCCTTTTGCCCTCCATTCTCCTGTTGTCCTGTTTCTCTGTGTCCGCCCTGCCTCCTTCCTGGGCCCCCTCTTTCTCCTCCTCAGAAGCTGGGATCTCCCTGTACCTGGCTCAGACGGCCCGGGGCGCGGCCGCCTCCCCCGAGGGTCCTGTCTACAGCACCATTGACCCAGCTGGAGAGGAGCTGCAGACCTTCCATGGGGGCTTCCCCAACTCCTCCGGGGACCCGAGCACCTGGAGCCAGTATGCGCCCCCGGAATGGAGCCAGGGGGACAGCGGTAGGCCTCCCGGGCCCCTCGCCCCACACTCCTCGGGACCTGGCCCAGCACTTCTGACAGGTCTCACCTCTGCCCCTTTCCTGCTCTGCTCAGGGCCCAGGGCCGGCAAAGCGAAGCTTCTGGGGAAACCTGTGCAGATGCCCTCCCTCAACTGGCCAGAAGCCCTGCCCCCACCGCCTCCTTCCTGTGAACTGAGCTGCCTCCAGGGGCCTGAGGAGGAGCTCGAGGGCGGGTAAGGATGCTTCTAGCTGCAGATGCCCTGCCCGTGGGACCCCCTTTCCTGCTCTGCTCAGGGCCCAGGGCCGGCAAAGCGAAGCTTCTGGGGAAACCTGTGCAGATGCCCTCCCTCAACTGGCCAGAAGCCCTGCCCCCACCGCCTCCTTCCTGTGAACTGAGCTGCCTCCAGGGGCCTGAGGAGGAGCTCGAGGGCGGGTAAGGATGCTTCTGGCTGCAGATGCCCTGCGTGTGGGACCAGCCCCGGCCGCCTGCTGGGAGGGCAGAGAGCTGGAGAGGAAGGGAGCTGGCAACTGGACGGCCCAGGAAGGATATGGAAGCTCCTCAGTCACCCTCACCTCCTGCCTCTTTCCCCAGCTCAGAGCCAGGAGAGTGGTGCCCCCCGGTGGTGCCTGAGAGGAGCCACCTGGCCGAGCCCAGCTCCAGCGGAGGTTGCTTGGTCCCTGCGTCCCGAGGGGAGACCCCCTCCCCCACACCTTCCTACGGACAGCAGTCCACAGCCACTCTCACCCCCTCACCTCCCGACCCTCCGCAGCCCCTCACTGACATTCCCCATCTCCACCAGATGCCCAGGTAGGGAGGCGCATGGCACCTTGCACATTATAGGCCCTCGGCACACATCTGTTCAGTGATGGATGGATGGATGGATGGATGTGTGGATGGGTGGAAGGATGGATGGATGGGTGGAAGGATGGATGGATGGATGGATGGATGGATGGATGGA